CCCCCCCCCCCCCCCCCAAAGGCATTTCCTTGCACCGTAACAGACAGTACAACAGTGGAGGGAGGAGGATTTGGAGGAGGACGGGGAGGACATGGAACAGGTGAAGGGTAGAGAACCACAGGAGCTTTCTGGAGGGAATGCCATGGTGAAAATGAAGGAGGGAGGAGCCAAGTTGGAACCTTGATGAACAAGATATTGGGTGGGACCGGGTAATCCAAGATGTAGTGTGTGGTGAGCTGGGAAGGGACATGATCCAGGGTAAGGATAGGAGTGGGAGCTAACTCTGTGATGAAAGTGATGATAGAGGGGGCTCAAAAAGGTCTGTGTCGGGGGGTTCTGGTTCCGCGGAGGGCATGGGCATCATCTCTGGGTCTGTTGCGGAAAATTTCTCTGCAATGACAGCCCAGTTGGAGACATCATTGTAGATTTTAAAAAGGCACATTGAAATTAAGCAAAATCACTATAGTATATAGTATTTTTTTTCCAACAAGCTGGTTTAGTGGAGCAGCATGTTTAGAAAAGTCCCTGACAAATCATCTATGAATAGAACATAGTCCCACAAATGCTCTGACCTCAGAAGGAGACTAGGGATTCCATTCTTAATTTTCACATTTTTCTGTGTTCCTCGTATAAGGCTGAAGATCTTTTTTAGAAAAAAACATGGCCCCAAAAAATCACATGATCTCTGGCAAGGTGACTTTTTAAAAAATTCCATTTCAAGCCTCTAGATTGGATTGAAAAACACTTCCTTGAGATGAGACAGGTGTTCCTCTAATGTTCTGGCATAAATCAAAATGTCATCAGGATATACCATGCAGATGTGCCATGGGAGCCCTCTGAGGACTAGCTCCATTAAACTTTGGAATTTTGTTGGGGAGTTTGAGAGCCCCATCTACATGGATCGCAACTGAGGCTGAGAGTCTTTTACAGTCACACTGTTCAAGTGTCTGGATGCCAGCCACCACATTTCTTTATAACTGTAACAACTGGTGACACCAGGGGCTAGAGCTCTCCTCGATACCAGTTCGGGGAGGACAGTTGGATGCATAATATGCAAGCTGTTTAATAGGGTTCGGCTCACTTATTCTGATATAATGTTTCACCAGTGTGCTTTTACCAGCATTCTGCTCAGAGGAGCTGAAGATGCCATTGTGTTCCAACAGCAATGCACAGAGTGCAGTCCTCTCTGATTCTGACATTGGTGACTCATCCAGCAATACAGGAGCTGCTACTCTGGAAAAGGTTGCTGCTGCTATGTCAACTGAAACATGAAGAACAGATTGGACATCAGAATCATCTTCAGAGTAAAACTCATCCTGGTGGTATAACTTGATTTAACAAAATATCTTGCCTGGTAGGATTCAAAATCTGAGCATCTGTCAGTCCTTTATGTATCTTAGTTACAGTTAAAGAATCAGTGGAAGAATCAGACAGTTGTGGATAGCCAACAAAGTAACTCACTAAATAAGTTGTACTAGCTTAACACATTTGAACTGGTACACTTGAATTGTTGAAGGGTGGTTCATAGTGTTTGCCAGAGACACATTACAGCACTTTGGAACAAAGTTT